ATATGGTCTGCTTCCTGTATTTAAGAAGCAGCTTTGAGAATGGTCTCTAGTCTATGGTACACTTGGACCCTGCATGTAGCTGTATTGTTGCTCAGCAGCCTGCCATGCTCTGCTGACCTCAGGACTTAAAATGGACTTAAGTTAATAGCCTGCTGTGTGGTTTGGTAACATAGGGACTGTGTCTTTTTACTTGTCAACCTTGGGGCTTCTTAGCCTCAGCAGCCAGCAGCTGTCTGAGTGAAGAAAATGCCTCTAGGTCCAGTTGGCCAGGAGCAGGAGGCAGAGCTGGACCCCAAGGTTGAGGGGCTTTCACCCAGCCCCTAGAGCCTGGCACTTTGAACTTGGACTTAAAGCCTCCAAATTGTAAGAATAAACTCCTGTTTGTTAAGAACATCCCATTTGTGGTATAGTCTTGTCAGAGCAGCACTAGGTAACCAGAACACCTGTCTTTTTAATGACCTTTTGCTTTCTTCATGTATGATGTCCTTGATGTCATCCCACAACTTGCCTGGTCTTCAGTCATTAGTGTACGATGTGTCAAACCTATGGTTGAGATGGTTTCTATATTCAGGTGGGATATACTCAAGGCCATACTTTCGCTCTTGTGGACTTGTTTTAATTGTCTTCAGCTTCAACTTGAATTTGCATATGAGTGATTGATGGTCTGTTCCACAGTTGGCACCCAGCCTTGTTCTGACTGATGATACTGAGCTTCTCTACAATCTCTTACCACAGATGTAGTTGATTTGGTTCATGTGGATTTCATCTAGTGAGGTACATGTATACAGCTGCCCTTTATATTATTGAAAAAAAGATTATTTCCAATGATTAGGTCTTCGGTCTTGCAAAATTTTATCACGCAAACTCAGGCATCATTTTTATTATTATTTTCCAACCACTGATTTGTCGTCTTATTTCTAACTTTTGCATCCCAGTCACTAGTAATTATTAATGCATCTTTACTGAATATCTGATCAATTTCAGATTGCAGAAATTGTTTTAAAAAAATAAACCTTTAATTTCTTCATCTTTGGCATTGTGGTTGGCGCATAAATTTGAATAACACTCTTATGAACTGATCTTCCTTGTAGTGTAGATACATTATCCTATCATTGACAGGGTTGTACTTCAGGATAGATCTTTAAATGTTATTTTTGACAATAAATTTGATGCCATTCCTTTTCAATTTGTCATTTCTGGCATAGTACAGCATATGACTGTCTGATTCAAAATGGGCAACACCAGTCCATTTCAGCTCACCAGTGCCTACAATACTGATCTTTAGGCATTCCATTTCATTTTTAACAACTTCCAATTTTCCTAGATTCATACTTCATCAATTCCATGCTCTAACCATTAATGGATGTTCACAGCTGTTTCTTCTCCTTTTGAGTCATATCACATCAGCAAATGAAGGTCCCAAAAGCTTTCCTCCATCCACATCATTAAGGCTGACCTTACTCTGAGGAGGCAGTTCTTCCCAGTTGTATTGTGAGTGCCTTTTAACTTGAGGCACTCATCTTCTGGCACCGTATCAGTGTTTCAGTGCTATTCATAAAGTTTTCCAATAATATATCAGACCGTGTTCCACTGTTATTCCTAAGGTTTTCACTGGTCAATTCTTTTTAGAAGTATATGACCAAGCCTTTTTCCTAGTGTGTCTTAGTTTAGAAACTCTACTGGAATCATTTCATCATGGGTGGCCTTGCTGATATTTGAAATACCAATGACATAGTTTCCAGCTCACAGCAAAATGCAAACTACCACAGTATGACAACCTGACAGATGAGTAGTGGTATTTACCATAGCCTGTTCTAAAACTGTAGTTCTGCTGTTTTTCTGTAACTCTTGGCTAAGTTGCCAATCAACATACTACAAACTCTAACTTCTCCATCTTAGCTCATTTCTCTACCAAGAAAGAAGACTGTAAGGTAGGGGCCCACATACATTGTGTATGCTAGTTTAACCAATGCTCTAGAAATGGCCAACTGAAACCTGGAACCAAAGGAAGGAAACAACTACTTCCATACAGACCAGTGGGCAGCCAGCAGACTTCTGGGCTGGAGAAACCAACAATGCTCTGTGATTTGATGGCTTTCCATGATGTTTTAGAATTTAAGACTATAGGTAACTAGAGCTTCCATTTGGCAACTAAACACTAGTAGCCCTAATCAGCATTTTACAAAATTATTTCTATGTGTCTTAAATGTCACATTGCCTTCTGAATTACTAAAATAAATGTGTGTACATGTATGTGTGCACACATGTGTGCACACATACACACATAATGCCTTCGAGTTCTAAAGTACTTCATCAGGAAAGCATACACAAGGTATGGAAGCTTTTCTGAAAGTGGACTGGGAACCAAAGAACATCAGTCACGGGCAATTAAATACACTATTTCTTAAGCACTTTTTTCTACTTTTGAAAAATCTGCACTGTGGGGAAGGCTTAGGACCAATTTACAGACAGGTAAGTTAAATATTCAATGCTCAAGTTTCAAGGTTCTTAAATATATTTTCTATTAAAGGCACCTTCTGTGACTTAAATAATTCTTCATCTGTTTTTTAGTAAATAGTACATATTTGGCCTCTGTTATTAGAATTCAGCAAGATTTATGTATGACTCAAGATGAAATGCCTGATAAAATAACACATTTAAGTTATGAGAATAAGAGAAAAAAATTTATCTTCTATCTGGGAGCTCTGGTAGCATAGTGGCTAAGACACTTGCCTGCTAACCAGACAGCTGGCGGTTCAAACCCACCAGCCACTCCTCGGAAGGAAGGTTGGGCAATCCTACTTCCTTAGTGATACTGCCTTGGAAACCCAAGGAGGGGTCGCTATGAGTCGGGTTTGACTCGACGGCACATAACAACAACAACAACAATCTAGACCTGATCTTAGAATGAAAAAAAATTAAAATTTTCATATGTATGAAAAATGAATCTACTACTGAACAACTTAACTATTGAGGAGCATGACTTTCCATTTGTAATTCAAAATATACAGGTGTACATCAAATGACTGTCCTACTTCTGTAGTGATACTGCCTCAGAAACCCAAGGAGGGGTTGCTATGAGTCGGGGCCGACTCAACGGCACATAACAACAACATCAAATGAATTTTATGTCTAGAATAATTTAAGTATAAACTGTTGATTCTTCATACTTTAGTAAATTCCAGGGACACTGTAACTTTAACCAACAACTAACTTATAAAAGTCAGAAATTTCACTGAAAAACAATCATGAAAATCATCATGGTCCTATCAGTTTTTCTATAAAACTGAATTAAAAATAAAAGAAGAAAAACACATATGATTATTCTGAAGCTGTTAATTTAAAGTAGTATTGCTGTAGTTGCTAGGTGCTGTCAAGTAGGCTCTGACTCAGCAACCCCGTATGACAGAACAACACACTGCCTGGTACTGCGCCATCCTCACAATTGTTACCATACTTGAGCCCGTATTTGCAGCCACTGAGTCAATCTATCTCATTGAGGGTCTTCCCCTTTTTTGCTAACCCTCCACTTTACCAAGCATGATGTACTTCTCCAGGGAATGGTCCCTTCTGACAACATGACCAAAGTAGAGTAGACAAAGTCTGGCCATTCTCGTTTCCAAGGAGCATTCCAACTATACTTCTTCCAGGACTGATCTGTTTGTTCTTCTGGCAGTCCAAAGCACTTTTTCTTTGCTAACACCATACCTCAAAAGCATCAACTCTTCTTTGGTCTTCCTTATTCATTATCCAGCTTTCACTTGCATATGAGGCAATTGAAAATACCATGGCTTGGGTTAGGTGCACCTTAGTCTTCAAAGAATCTTTGCTCTTCAGCACTTCAAAGAGGTCTTTTGCAGCAGATGTGCCCAGTGCAATATGACGTCTGATTTCTTGACTACTGCTTCCACTGGTGTTGATGGTGGATTCAAGAAATAAGAAATCTTTGACAATTTCAATCTTTTCTCATTTATCATGATGGCTTATTGGTCTACTTGGGAGGATTTTCATTTCCTTTATGTTGAGGTGTAATCCATACTGCAGACTGTAGTATTTAATCTTCATCAATAAGTGCTTCAAGTCACCTTCACTTTTAGCAAGCAAGGTTATGTCGTCTGTATATCACAGGTTGTTAATGTGAAGTGGTATATGTATAATAAATAATAATAATATTCAAATTAAAGGCATTTAAAAAAATAAATTTTGAAATACTCATTAATCTGGATTTTTTATGTTATATTGTATTTTCAGTTAATATAAATATACATTTAAAATCAATTTCCATATATAAGCATTCCACATATCTACAAATATACAAAATCAGAACTTATATCTAAAAGGCAGAAGGAACTGGACTTATGTATCACAAAATTATGCTGCAAAAAACTGAGAACAACCTAAATATCCCAAAAGATAATGGCTTAGTATTAAGTCTAAAATACAATATGCAACCTTATAATTATGTTTATAATTTCACGTAAAGTAAATAAAACAAAACATAATTATTCTACATGATGACTGTAACTATAACAAACTACAGACTAAAAACTATATGTATGTGAACAAAAGCTGGAAGGGAAAAGGAAAAACAGGAAACAGAAAATGTGACTAGATTTTCAGATACATTTTCTTTTTTTTCATTTATCAATGATGAATTGCTAAAGTAAAATATATTTTTTAAATATTTATGAGTCTCAAAATCTGTATTTACTACCTATTTATAGAATCTTCATTTTCTTTTCTTGGAATGGTATATATAGGACCTACACATGGGCTGCTGTGAAGCTATAGGATATTCTAGACTAGAATTTAAGTGTTAGTTTTAAGTTTATGACCTTTTTCCAAGTGAAGTTGGAATCAAACCACCTCGAATCTACAAAAGCCTGTACTTTCTTGGTATGGAAATACTATATAGAGCAACATTTGCACATTTCCTAATGCTTGAACTAAGATATATATATATCCAAGTGTTTATGCTCTAGAGTGTGTTAAATACTTGCCTTCATCTGCCCTATTTATTTCATGCTCAGGAAGCCTGGAACTGCTGGGTCTGGAGGGTGAACCCACAGATGGCTGCAATGAGGGAAGTTCATCAACATCTCTCAAATTAGCAAGCATATCTTGGAGTTTTGACCTGTTGGGCCCTAGCCAAAAAACAAAACAAAAAAAAGGAACAGAATTATTCAACCACATCAAAACAGTGCCATAAACTTTATTTATATCTGCCAACATTTACCTTTGATAATGGCACCATTGTGCTATGAGTAAGAATTATTTTCAGAAGAAAATTTGTTTCTTGAAAAAAATTTTACGTATGTTTTTTAAATTAAGATAATGAAATAATACCATTATTTGCATGAAAAAAAAGAAACAAACTCATGTCCAATTTGGACCCTTAAAAGTAACATTATTCTACAATCAAACCTCTGTATATTGCTCTAAATGCAGACAGATACCACAGATGGTAAAGCTACTGTGTACTGAATCAAACAACATCTCTTCCTGTTTGTCTAAGTTAAGTAGCATTCACTGCCTTACATCCTGCAGCTATGGTACCCAAGATGAAGTCTCATGCCCTGCTGATTACTTACCTGAGCTTTGATCCATCATTCTCCCACATCCCTGTTTTGACTGTTTTATATAGCATAGATGCTGAAACAGATCTTCGGTAGTTTTTCCTGTTATAAGTTTAATTAAGAATGGGAAAATCTTACCCATAGTCCATATGGTTTTATCCTATACCAGCAAAGAATATTATTTTTAAGCAATTTTAAATAATATCTAGAAATATATTTCAAGATGGTATGACTGATACACACAATTTGACTGGAAATATTTTTATTGAGCCATATTTAAAAAGACCCAAACTTTTCTAATGACTAACCTACCCATTGCTGATGAGTTGATTCTGACTCACAGTGACCCAATAAGACAGAGTAGGACTGGTCCCTAGAGTGTCCAAGACTGTAAATCTTTATGGAAGCAGACTGCCTCATCTTTCTTCCACAGAGCGGCTGGTGGGTTTAAACCTTCTACCTTTTGCTTAGCAGCCCAATGCTTTACCACAGCTCCTTCAATGAGTAACAAACAGTTCAATTCAAAGATATTTATTGTGGTTTATAAATTCATATACCAAATTAAAGCTTTGACTCATTTGATCATTTCTTCACTTCTTCCTAGACTACTGCTTTGTCAAGGTAACATGAACTAAAGATGAAAAACACAATGTGCTGAACCTCAGTCTACAGTCCTCCATCTTCACTGGAAAATGTTAAATTTCTCCCCTAGATAGAGTCTTTTGTCTTTGCCATACTAAAAAACAATGTTATATGCCTCAACACTGATCAAATCCCCTGCAAAGGAAATCCAATCGCTTCTATTAATAGGAATATTATTCCAGTCAAATGGTGCACTTTAGACCTAAAGCGCTAAATTTCAACTACATGATGCCTTGACATTTGACAAAGTGATTAATCAACATAATAATGGATGGATTCTATATAAGTCCTGGCTACCTTTCCAATTAAAAGATCTTTACACAGTAGCACAGTGACCTAAAGAAATTTATCAACTTTAAGTAAATCCATATGTTAAAATGTTCTTATTTTTTTCATATAAGATCCTTAACACCTTATTTTCTTCAAAATTCCAATTTAACTTATTTTATCATGGCTCTGAAAAGTCATGACAAATCATTTCTCACTATATTTGTTAAGATTTAATTTTTTATTAGTATATTTAGAAAAAAGTATAAAATGTTCTTATGTTTTTAATATTAATTTTTCTCATTATGATTAAATTTATATAGAGAAAGAAAGACATCATTTCTTAGTATGCTAATGGCTGACACTATGTTAACATCAATAATGGTCACTGACATTTATAAATTCAAACTAAACATTTGTAAATGCTAAGACATTTTAATAAAGTTTTAAATGTTTTCAACTGACTGCCATATTGTAAAAGAATGTCCTAAGAGAAATGAATGGTTTTGACAAGCATTAGCATCAATATATAAAAAAGGAAAAGCCTATCCTGGCAGTCCTTTGTAACTTTTAAATATATTCCTCATTAAGTTAGAACCTAGCCTCAATTTATACTACTTTAATATCATAAAGGATGAAATTCATTATTGCCTTGGAGGGGGAGGGGGTCCATGTTCACACTGTCAATGGGAGTAGAAGTACAAGGAGGTAATTTAGCCTTGCTCTCCTAAAAAGACAAACGTTTAGGCAAGTTTCCAGAGATGTTTGAAAGCTCTTGCATTTACATTTTGCATACTTAAGTAAATCACTGCTAAACTTTACTAGTAATTTGCATAATGAAAGTTATGCATGTATGATTCACAGGGCTAAAAATTTCATTTTGGCTTGTTTTTTGATGTGGCACACATTTGACTGAAAAAAAGCTAATTGGTAGGATTATTATAAGTGAAACTGGCCAACAATTTTAAATTAGAAAACAAATGCTTGAATAGTCATGCATTTGACTCTGTGCCCTGTATAGCATATAGTAGTGAGAGCAAATGAACTGTGTGCTATGAATACACAGAATATTCAGGGGTAGAAATTAACTTTCTTTCTATCTCCTAGATTTAAAATTATAAGCAACAATTTTGGTGGATTGCCAGATTGCCTCAACTAGATGCGATTTATAAGTTTACCAGTAGAAAAAATCACTGCTGTAATTAAGCACATATTCTTTTAAAAATCAAATTATTGCTACATCTGAATACATAGTCCAACACTATCATGAGGCTCTGCATTTATTATTGGGACATATTATGATTCCATAATCATGCATAGGTTTTTTAAGTTCATAATCAAACAGACATTTTAATTTCAACCCCTGAGAGCAGGTGAAAAGGGAAGAGGTCAGGAGCAGAAAAGAAAAAGAGTAAGTAGTTTTAGGAAAACATTGAAAACAAAATTTGGGGATGTGAAAAGAGGCAAGATTCATGATTTACAGATACAATGTTTTCCACTTACTCTTCACCCCCTTTTTCCCCTTCCTCTCCTTTTTGTATTGCTCCTTGAGTTTGGTAATTACTCCCTGGTCCACATTCCAAGCTTCAGGCATGAGACATTGGTCTTCCTTTTCTAAACAGGGTGAAACAAATGAAACAGTCTTTTTCAATAAAATACTGAACATTCTAGGTCAACCTGTCTGAATGACATAATTATTTTCTTCATAATATCATTAATGTAAAAAATAGTTATTGGAGATTCATTAGAGATGTAAGTCACACAAAACATAATACTTAAGAAGCAATGATCAATTCAATTTCTTAGGTAATATTAGATTTCTCTTGAAAGAGAAATAGAAAAAAATATCTAGATGATTTGGGTGAGTTTTAGTAAACTAAAAACTAAAACGTTATAATCAAGAACCCTTGTTTTCATCCTATTTTCTGAATTTGAATAGGACTGGATGCCTCACAAAAACACTTCTTATTAACTTATGTGATGAAAAATTATTATCAAGGAATTCTACAAACCAATCTTCAATACGCTTTCTGCTTCAAAAATTTTATATTTTTGGCATGTGTTCATCAATAAATCAACATTGTTACTTTACAAACTTTATGTATAATAAAAGCATTTTGTAAAATGTATTACTCAACTTTTGTTCAAAATTTAAAACAATTTATGTGATTTGTTAGTTTACAAATTCATAAAAAGGAGGAGATCAAGTTTCTAGTAGAAAAGAAACTGAATAGTCAACTTTAAATATTTCAGTAGAACAAATTTCAAAGAGTAAAGACAAGTTATAGTTTACATTTACTATAAAATAATTTATATACTATATACAATGTAAGTATTACCTCAGAACTCTGCATTAAACCTAAGACTCATAAATGCAGTTGCTCACTCTATACCTCCTTTGTTGTTGTTGTTATGTGCTGTCGAGTCATCCCCGACTCATAGCGACCCCTCCTTGGGTTTCCGAGGCAGTATCACTATGGAAGTAGGATTGCCCAACCTCCTTTAGGAAGTCTAATATATATTCCAAAACTAAACATGTACAAAACCAAATTCCCCATCTCCCTCCTCAACCTGTTCTACTCACTGAGTTCTCCATTTCAACTGATGGCAATTCTATTCTTTGTGCTGCTCAGACCAAAAACCTCTCGTTCTCTCACATTCTATATCAAACACGTTAGGAAACATGGCTTCCTTTAACCTCAAAAGACCTCAAGAATCTACTCAGCACACCCAGTGCTACTACCCTGATCTCTTGGTAGAATTACTGTGATAACTGCCCACATGCTTCCCTACTTACAACCCCAAAAAGTCTATTAAACACTGGTTACCCTATGTAGTATATGCTCAACACGGCACCCAAAGCAATACTTTAAAAGTCAGATCATGTTACTCCTCTGCTCAAAGCCCTCCCATGGCTCCCCGTCTCAACTGTAGTCTAAATGGCCCTATCCAAACCAAAAAACCCAATCTGTTGCCACAGAATGGAGGATTTTAGCTCACAGCACCCCTATAGGACAGAGAACTTCCCCCAAAGGGTTTCCAAAGCTGTAAACTTTATGGAAGCAGAATGCCACATTCACATCTTTCCCCATGGAGTGGCTGGTAGCCTTGAATTGTCAACCTTAGAGTTGCAGCTAAGTGCTTTAACTACTGCATCATCAGGGCACATCAAACATTCCCCTAGATAGCTCCATCTATTCTGGTTTCACTGAATTCCTCAAGTATGCCAGGGTTGCTGCTATCTTTGGGCAGTGAACCAGCCCACAAAGTATTTGTCTAGTAAGTCCAAAGGGCAATATGCCATTATTGGGCAGAAGTATAAGCAGTGTCTCCCTTACATGAGAAGTTCTAATAAATGAAAAGGAATACACAGTAACGTACTTACCACTCTAACAGGAAGAGTCATTAGAAGATTCAACAAATGCCCCTGACATTATAAATTGTTTCTAGTAAGTTAGGGGAATTTAAATCTATCTTGAATGCATATCAGAAAAGTCAGCAACATAAGCATAGCCTCTCTTCCAGACTTTTTGTTTCTGGGATTGTCCACTATTTACTGGGAAAGAACATCTATTTCCTTGAGGTGATGACATTATCATTTTCATTCTGTAATGTTTCAGGTGGAATAAAAAGGTTACAAAAACCTTTTTATTGTTTTGTTTATTAAAAATATTAGGCAACTTCTTCCTCCCACTTATCCAAGAGGGTCTTTTATCAGTCATTATAAAATGACCAAATGAGACTGAAGAATAAAAATATGAAAAAAAATTTTAACACAAATGAGAGAACGTAGTTTTTCCTTTTGGCTTTAGAATTCTAACTTAGTTATTTTTTAAATAAAATATGTAAAAATTACAGTGTAACACTTATAATGTTTATAACTAAAAATACTCAAAAAACATTCTTCATTTTAGGCAATAAAATACAGTAACACTTGGCAGAAGTAATACATGTGTTCTAGTCTTACAAGATGAAATTTTACTAGATGTATATTCACATCTACATAATAAGTAACTCTACAAAAACAATTTTAAAGCATGTTGTTATATTAAGGGGCAAAATATTAAATGAAAACATACTTTAATTAAGAAACCACTTCTTTATCTTTTGAAAAGAGTACAAGTTTTTATCATTTTAAAACAATATCAAAGTGATTAGCAATATTAACATTCTTACAATAAATAAATATTGGCCTAACTATTAGGCCATTGGGGGTCTATTTAAATAATCACCAAATTGTTCCTGACTTTCAAAGAATGAAAAGTAACCAATACAAACCGTAAGTCTCATCCTAAATACATTAAAAAAATTCTAATATAAACTTAGATTATAGATATAATATATAACCAAAAAAACAAAGCTCACTGCTGTCAAGTCAGTTCTGACTCATAGAGACCCCTCCCTTGAGTTTCCAAGGCGATATCTCTATGGAAATAGATAGACTAGTCTTCCTTCCCAGGATTGGCTGGTAGGCTTGAACCGCCAGCCTTCTGGTTAGCCTTAGGCACTACACTAACTACATATTTTAACTGAGAATCAATACATCTATCAATATTTATTTTTCATATACACATCCAAATTTTAAAACTTACTCCAAAAAAATCAAGGTTAACATTTTAACTAATTTAACATTCATTATCAGCTTAGTTCTTGAAAGTATAATGCAATTTACATTTAAAGTAATTGCCTAAATAAAAGTAGATGAAAAATTCAAATGAAAAAAATAATTCTAATGTAGACTATCAACTGGTTACCACCTCTAACAGCAACTTTTTTAAAAATAAGATTCTTTTATATTCTAACTTTATATGTTTTAGTTAAAATTCTCAAAGATTAGCAAAAAGATCAATATCTTATTTAAACTTAACAGAAAATTTGTCAATTTAATGTTAAAACTCTAAAATCATCTTCTCATTAATGCTTTAGTGTATTTAACTAAGGCCTCTTTACAGCCATATCTACAACGACATGAATTTGTATTAAGTAAATATTTTATAATTTACTAGTCAGAAAATCAGTATGTTCTAAAATTTCACTAAGAGCTACCAAAAAATTGCAAACTACTTTTTAAACATGTGAAACAAAAGACAAGATTTGTAATCTATTTTGGTTAATTGCTTAAAAGTGCACTATTTCAAAATAAGGTAATGGAAATAATTTAACCTTCAACACATTTTTGTATGCCACTTCTTTCCTATCCTAAAGCACAATCCATAAGAGTAAATCTCATTATCAAATTTTAATATGCAAATCCTCTTTCCTCTGTACAAGGGCCTAAGTTCAGTGACTCTGACTTCTCAGTTGCAGGAAGTATGTAACAAATATTTTCCCAGCTAAAAGCTAGATTGCTAAATAACGTTCAACTTAAAAACTTGTTAAATATAAGAAAACTATTTTTCAAAAAGTTTAATAAATTGCCATATTAATTTTTAGTGCCATTAACTATTTAGTAAGGCTGTGAAGACCTGTAAGTTAGTAATATTCACCCCTGGATGTGTGGATACTACAAAACCTAAAGGGTAAAAATACAGTTCACACTTAAAATAGAAGAAACCAACATCCATCTCTTTTATCTCAAAAGAGTAATAAATTACTCACCCCTTTCTAAATAGGTATTAATGTGATCTGATTTAAGATCTGCCAATTAAAAAGCATGAGACTAGCAGTTTACGTGCCCATCAGTGAGTGAAATGCCTAGTGAGTGAGCCATAAAGCTGAATAGAAACAAAGCTCTTTTCATTCTTACTTTTCCCCAATATATATTTACTTTCATGGAAAACTAGCTTCCTAAAACCTTCATGAAAAAACTGTGCAATTTTGTTTCTCATAAAACGTATAAGACATGGGACTTCCAACTTCAAAAACAAAGATGAAATATCCCTTACTTTATGGTTGAAAAAAACTTGTAAGTAGGAAGTTCTATCAGGTCATTAGCAGAACTGGATTGTACAGAACAAAAAATTATGGTTGTGAATAAAAATTGCTTCATCCATTCTTTTAATGAATAAGGCATTCAAAGTTTAAAGGTCAACATGTTTTAAGCTGGCCCCTGAGGAGAACTCCAAGGAGAAATGAGCATAGTTATTAATTCTCTAACCTTACCTGTCCTTAAAGTAACAGTAGTATAAACTTAGTAATGGAATTCTTCAACCTCAAAAGAAAATTATCTTTCATTCTCTCTCTTTCTCTCTCTCTCTCTCTCTCTCTCACACACAATGGAATCAATTACTTTTGAAGATTTTATCACAATCCTACTTTATTGTTAGGGACAATTCATTTCCAAACTATTAGAATGATTGACCTATTGGAAATTTTAACTCTTGGCTTTATGTTTTAAATATTAAATTCATTTAGAACAATTTGAGAAAAATAATCCTATGCTTTTTACAAACTGATAAAACCTAGCTAGAATGAATACCATAATTTTCCAACTTAAATTTCTTTTTTGCACAGCTCATGTAAGAGATGAGACCTCAAAAATCCTCTCTTACATTCTCATACTCAATTTCCACAAAAATCTAGATTTGCAAATTCTATTCTCTAGGTAGAAACCAAAAAATAATCTATATATAAATTCAAATTTTTTTTTCAGAGTGTACTGTTTATACTAAAGAAAAAAGAGGAGGTGACTAGTTATACAACATTCTTTAAACACACTGGATACAAAAAGTGGCAATAGTAAAAAGTCCACAGAATGTTCAATATTTCAGCATTGTAAGAGATTTAAGTATTCTTTAAGATATTGTGCTGTTGGTAAAACATCAATTTGTTTTAATGACTTAACATCTCTGGTTATGCTCCTTACCCCAATCAGTGCCATCGCCAGCACTTCTAGATTCACTGTCTCCTTCATCTGATGCACCCAAGAAGTCAAACTCCTTTAGAGCTTCTTTTGTATCTCTATCTTCACTGCTGTCAGGAAGTACTTTTTTCCTAACAATCTAACGAAAAAAATGCTAAATTAAAATTTTAGGATAGATTACAGATTTAATTTAAATAAAGGAGATGGTATCCCTTTACTATTGAGTAAACACAATTCAATTATTTTTCTGAAAAACTGTTATTTTTGTTGTGTTAAATAACACCTACCCAACTAAGTGAAGAACACAGATATCATTGTTTAAAGACATGAATGACACATTTTAAAGCAGTTTATTTAAACTTTGTTCAATGCCAGGTATGATGCTTCTTTGTTTTAAATAAACTAACTGAACCATATATGAATATTATTGAAATCTAAGATATCTATTTACCAGGTAAATCACAGACTGATGAAAAATGTCCCTGACTCTGAATTATGAGGACCACAAACAAATTGTACATTTCTTGGATGAAGCCCGGGCAGTTTGTAGATATTCTAATCTAACCAAATGAAGAGACATTTCATAAAATATTTCAAAAGTTTTTCAGAATATAACCATGATAAATTTTAACTCGACTATATCACAAAACCTAAAACCATGAATGCTACAAACTAAGAAATACACATATCAACACTTATAAGGCAGGAAAAATTTTTCCATTATTTCTACTATCCTAACCTTGCATCAATTTTCTCCAACAGTTAACTATATTCAGATACTTTTCCTAAAATTCTGATCTCTTAGAGTGAGACCTGATGTAGATTAAAAAGCACATCAGATATGGGCTATTATGTCTCATTTTTATACATTTAGGAGTAGACATGGTTTGTTAGCTCTCTATAACAATGCTCTTTATGAGTGACCTCCTTTTTTGTCACCTCCCTCACCAGAAACTCAAGTTAGGTCTGAAGTTTCTTTAGATTAAGTGGTGTCACTATCTTAACTTTTCAAGACTTTAGCTTCTTTACTTCATGTAAATTAAAAATAACATGACCTAATAAACTTTAACATGCACTACTATGAGTAGTTTAAAATTATTAAAGTTCAACAGACAGACTAGAGAAGGCTAGAATGCTCAGAAATAGATCCTAAGAGATAATAAATATCTGGCTTATGTGGCTTTGTTACCAGGTTCATGATTATTATCACCTATCAATCACAGCACTTTTCATCTGAGACCAGATAGTCTCAGAAATCCTTCTCAAAGCAGACTCTAGGAAGCTGCTGCCAATAGAACAGAGCTGGTACACTACATGAAACGTAGCCTAGCTATGCTGGTACATATGAAACTGAACAGGAGAAATCAAGAATTATTTAATGATACTGGAATAATTTATTAACTATTTGGAACATTTCTCTAAAATCAAGATATACTTTCATGTTTAAAGTATTTCCCAATCTACCATCTAGCAAATCTATTAAACAAACAAACAAAAAAAGCAACATGAATTTGGCAGATTGTGAACAGAAAATCCATGCTGAATGTATAATCCTCTGTAAGCATTCAAAGTCATATGTCAGTAACGTGCTAGTCTAGGAAGCAAGTCTAAGGCAAAAAAAAAAAGTATCTCTGAAGACATATCAACAGAAAGCTCTGATCTTCATAGTTTCACATGCAAGAATATTGTCTACTTCTTATCCTTCTAGTCTAAGGGCTTGGTCCCTCCCTTTTCCTCATCTCGATGGCCCCTCCCTCAGCTATAATTCAGAGGGACCATCACAAACATCTTGTAGATGGAGTGTCCTTATTCTCATTGCCTGACCAAAAAATGCAGGGACAATCCAGAAGAAGTGTCTGGAATCTCAAATTGAAAGTATGAATGCATTTCAACATTTGGTATTGCTAAATATGGTACAGAGTCAGAAAAATCAACTCAGAAAAAAACTGGTTCCTAGGACTCATCTCCTCAGTATAACCTTACAAAGAACAACAATAATAGGAAGATTTAGGCAGCAAAGAAATTAGTATAGTATAGGAGATACAATCAAAGTTGTTGTTATGTGCCACTGAGTCAGACCCCACTCATAGCAACCCTCCTTGGGCTTCTGAGGCAGTATCACTACAGAAGCAGATTGCCCAACCTTCCTCCCCAGGAGTGGCTGGTGGGTTTGAACTGCCAGCCTTCTGGTTAGCAGTCAAGTGCCTTAGGCACTATCAGAAAGCACCAATATTCATCTCCTTCCTGCTAGCTAGGAGCTCTGGTAGCATAATGCCTAAGGCACTTGGACTGACTGTCTCCATGTGTCTTTGATTTTCTTCACTCTTCTTTGCTCTGGAGGAGAAGAGATCAATAGTTTCAACTTAGATAGATAGGCCTACGAGCTGAGCACCCATACCAGGGACAATAAACTATGGAAGATCAGAAGGGTAGCATATGCACAGGGAGAGGGTTGGGAGGCAGGAATGCATAGGCAAGAAGGACACAGGGAGGAAGTGGGAGGGGAGCTGTTATACTGTGAATAATGTAACCAGTGTCACAAAACAGAATGCGTATAAACTGTTGAATGTAAAATGAATCTGCTTTGTGAAATTTCACCTAAAACACAATAAAAAGTCTGGAGGGGAAAAAAAAAAAAAAAAAGATTGTTTGCCTACCTACTAATGTCAAACTCAAAATTTTACATGTCTAATTATTTTAAAAATAACTTAAACAAGTAGATTCTTAGCTGTTTTGAGCCTATCTGCTTTGAATACGTAGCAAAAATTGACCGAACATCTGCTAGCCATAGATTGGATGAAACTTGTAGCTGTAAGTCTCCAAGCTGCTCCTGCTCTTCAGAGCTTTCTGACCCGCAGACTACCCACTTTGCTGTTTAAAGAACATCACCGAGGGCATGGAAACCTCGTCTCTCTTTCCGCCCATCTTTCCCAAGAGTTCACTTGCCTTCTTCTCCTTCTGGTGGCTTCCAGAACCATTTAGTGCTGGAGGGCCTCTGCTAGGAGGTACTGCCCTCAGCATTCAAACTGTCAGTGTATAGGCCCCAAAACAGCTGTCCAATACTGCCATCTTGTGGCCACATCTTTTTTTGTGATCAGGCCTGAATTCCTGCAAACTCACTACAGGTAAAAACCATCCTATACAACATGCATATTTTTCACTGTGCTACAATATAAAACTATCTTAGGAAATGTGACACTAAAATCTAAATCTGCAAATTCTATTTCCATTAACAGCTAATATTTACAATCATGGGGAAGAGAAGGGGAGAATAAAGGGATGGAGAAGTTATTCCAGAGAAATACTACCCAAAAGAAAGCTAGGTAGCAACATTACTATCAGATGAAATAGACTTTAAGGAAAAAAGCTTTAAATAGGGATGCATGCTTATAATGTAATGATAATAGGAATTTACTAGAGAGAGGTAGTAATTCTGAATCTGATTAGACATAACCTCACTCCACGAACCTTTGTTAGCAAGCCTAAGAGCAACTGTATCCTTATTTTTAGAGGTAGTACTTTACCAAGAAATGCAGGATGGGTGGATGGATATACAACATAGTCTATCAATCCATTTATCATATAAAGGCTCCATCCTTCCACATACAAAAGGCCAAACAACACAAAAATAATGTGAAAGAACATAAAATAGACAATTCACAGAAGAAATGAGTAATTATGCATAAACCAAAACAATGATGCTCATTATTATACTAATATAATAATAAGTATAAGAAAATGTTCTCAACATATTAACACATTAACCAAAGAAACAGGCAAGTACTTTGCCCATCAGACTGTCAAACATCTGGTATAACTGAGGGTACGGGGAAAATAGCACTCATACTCGTGGTGCAAGAGTAAATTGGTATAAGCTTTATGGAGAACAGTTTGGAAGTGCAGTGTAGTAAATTACTTAGTGTGGCTTTTCTACCCATAAGTCATTGTAAACTCAGTGGTGGAATGAGCAACTGAGGAGCTCCTGATTGTAAATGTTATCCACCTGGGTTATTTCTGTTGGGCGTGGCACAACACACAATTTTACAGGAGGCTCACTCTCAGGTGCTTAGAATTGTTGTTATAATTGGTTGGTTTGACCACTGTGCAGGGCTCAAATGGAGGCCTCCTAGAGGCAGAACTCTCTCTGACTGCTGGTTGAGAAACATGTGCTGCTGAAAGAGACATGCGCTCCTGAAAGAGACATGCGCTCCTGAAAGAGACATGTGCTGCTGGGAAAGAGATGCAAGAGACATGCGTTGCTGAGTAAGACACCAAGGGACATGCACTGCTAGAGAAGAGACTGTGAGAGACTTGGCTGAGAGACGGTGGGCTGGGAGAGAGACTGAGCGTTTTTCCTGAACTTGAATTGTAGCCTGGTGCTTCCCTAATAAACTCCATAATCTGTGAGTTCTGTGTGGCCACTGAAGCGAATTATCGAACCCAGGAGAAAGGTGGTGGGTGCTTTGGGAGGAACGGTTGGAAAAAGGACTGGAGGGAGGCAGCATGTCTGGCCTGGCAGGAATAGGCCATGAGCTATTGATGGTGATTCTGTCCTCCTCTTGTGGGATTAGAGGAGGTCAGAACATGTGGCCTCCTTGCCCTTTTTGCAGGAAGTATCTGCCATAATTTAAAGGCATATACCATCATTGTTGTTAGGTGCCATCAAGTTGATTTCAACTCACAGCGACTCCATGTGGCAAGAATAGAAGTGCCCAACACCTCTAGGTCTTTGTCCCACAGAGTGGCTGCTTTTGGTTAGTAGCCCAGTGTGTGACCATTGTGTCACCAGGGCTTCACAGATTCATTCTTCTTATTGTAATCTATATAGCTCAGTGATTTTTCTCTTACTATAGTAAAATAAGACACATACTGTCAACTTGTTTGGATAAGAAAAAAGTTCTGGATGAGTGCCTAAATCTCAAATAATACCCATGGTAGAATTTATCAGCAGAGCACTACTGAATAGTGGTCCAGAGAAACAACAGTAGGAAAGTCATACTCAATAAATCTCTGATGGGGCCAAGGAAGCAGAGAGTATAGAGAACAGACTACAGTTAGTGAGCACTTTATAATTTAACAAATCATTTTCATACATATTGTCTCATTTGTTCCTCATAAAGTACTCTGGGGATGAGATGGACAATTACTATAATGTCCATTTTACAAACTAAAATAACTAAGATTAAATTATTAATCATTACAGACAATTACTGGCAGAACTGGGATTTAAACCCAAGGCTTCTGACTCTAGGTTTAATTCGCTTTACATTATCTTATTTTCTTTTACCTCTTATTAAATAACTATGAAAAAAGGAATGCCAAACATTTTCCTGGGTAAAGTAAAGCATGTCCTCACGCCTTACTTAAACAAAAAAAGAGAAGGAGAGAAAAGAGATGAGATGGGAGAAGGTGAGAGGGGAGAAGCTGCAATTTAGATATGTCTTGTTCCAGGAAACTAAAACGGGAAAGTTTTATAACCTTATAAAGATCTGAACAAAACTATAAAGAACCTCAAACAATCATGAAGAAGTCAAATGAAAGACTTCTGAAAGTGGGGATGTCTGAAGAACCAAAGCAATCCTGACAAGAGACAAAAACTCTCAAGTAGAGCTGATGCCAGGCACCATCAGGCACCATAATGGGCCTGTCAGTTCTACTGCCTTATAGCAACCAAAACACTACATTGTTTGAACACATAGCATTTACCACATTTCCTAGTCGTAGAAAATGCAGTCATGTTTAATAAATTAACTAAAAATAGGAGAGTAAAGAATTTAAAGATAAAGCTGCTATCATAAAAAATATTCTTGAAAATCAAAATTAATGGAAACAATCAGTCCTAGCGACTGGTACACCATCCGATCTGCAACCTATACAACTATGAGACCAGAAGAACTAGATGGTGCCCGGCTACCACTGTCATCCACTTGGAAGGGATGTAGGAGATCCTGCATAGAGAGGGAGAACAATGTAGAACAAAACTCAAAATCATTTGGAGGCAAAAAAAAAAAAAAGAAGGTGGGGACCAGGTTTGCTGGTCCAATAGAGCCTGGTGGAACCACTGAGACTATGGCCCCTAGCCACACCTGTGGTTTCCAGCCAAACAAAGAACAGGCAAGTGAGTTAAACATTTGCCTCAAGTAGACACACGCCCTGGAGAGAACAATCATGGGAGAAGGAAGGGCTGCTTATGCACAGGGAGACAGCTCAGGGCACAGAAGAGTATGGAGGGATGGACACTGGGAAGAGGTACTATGGGGAGGAAGTGGGAGGGGAGCTGTTGCATTGTAAATTTTGGTCAATGACATGAGACAAAGTATATTATGTGAACTGCTGTATGAAAAGTGGATTTACTCTGTAAATCTTCACCCAAATCAAAATAAACTTTAAAAAAAAAAAATTCTTGAATTTGAAATCAATACTGTACACGAACTTTCCTCAAATTCATGAAAAAGTTAAGGGTTCAGACTGAAAAACATAGATTATTTATAAAGTATGCATTCTGTTCACTAAAAATATTTATTTCTATTAGCTGAGTTATCCCACTCACTGTTGACGTATCAATGATGCTTTTTTCTCTTCCATCAATATCATCATCATCATCTTCATCACTGAAATCTGCAGCTGCGCTTTCAAGGAATTTGAAATTATCCAGCACGGAGGCAGAATCTGTCAACTCAGATTTTCTGTTTTAAAAGACATACATCTTTCTCAGTTAATTTTTAAAATTGTTAACATAAAGATTAACCCATGATATATGCCACTAACTTCTGTTTATATTATAACTATGATCCCTCCAAATCAAATTATTATCTATTTTGAATCTTATCCATTCCATTTCCATGGACTTTAACTGGAAAGCAATATAGGAAATGGCTACTCTTTAAAAAATACTTTACAATCATATAGTTCATATAGTTTCTTTCTGTTGTGCATAGGGTCGCTATGAGCCAGTATTGACTCTGGCATACAACAGTTTCCTAATGTCCAGAATAGGGTAATTTCTCTCCAGTTCATTAGGAAATGTTTTAGATAAGAAGGCATTTTCCTGAAAAATCTTAGTGGCATAGTGCCTAAGGCATCTGACTGCTAACTAGAAGGCTGGCAATTCAAACCCATCAGCCACTCCTTGGAAGGAAGACTAGGCAATCTACTTCTATAGAGATACTGCCTCAGAAACCCAAGGAGGGGTCACTATGAGTCAGAACTAACTCAACGGCAGTGAGTTTGGTTTTTTTTTTTTTGATGGACAAAATTATCAAAACAGATAAATCGTAAGTTTGAAATCAGCTAAGAGCTATGTTTTTGTCCTTTCCAGACCCATTCTTAGTTCCCACCTGTATCTGACAGATTCAGAATGATACACTTGCCAGTTTCAAAAGACTGAGCAAACCCAAAACATCTGACAGTTAGAGTGTTCTTCTGTGAAGGTCTTTATAATGACTTAAAGTCAATCTTTAAGGTGAAAAATACAACTAGGAACAATGCTACATGGTCTATGTCTATACAGAGAAATAATGTATACCTTACATTTATAAAAATAAGTTAATACACTCCTAACTATTAATGAATAAATTTAGGAAATCATCAATGAAATTTTGTTTACAAAAGGCATATTTTTCCATCATTACAGAAATCTCATAATTTCACTTTATGTGCCAAATAACAGGAACTATGTGCCCATTGAAAAATTTATAGAGCTCAACTAATTCCATTCTTCAAAGCCTAAATATGTGTTAAAGTAAAATCACAGAATCTTTGGCTTTTTATTTAATTAAGAATTATGGCCAATTTTCAATAAAAAAAGAATATCCTTATTCAACTATTCATGTTCACTCTAAGTCATATTACATATAATTGTATGATAAATGAGGTGAAAAGCAAAACAAAATATTTCAAACAGCTACTGAATTTTTCACACTTAGATATTCTATCAATCTAAAGTATTAAGAAAAATATTTTCTTAGTCAAAGGAAATATGAGTTACGGCATTATTAGATAAACAATAGCTAAGAAATCTTTACTTCAAAGGATTCTGAGCTATTTGCAGGATTTCTGATCACCAATAGTGAAACTTCATTCTTACAGATTTATACTTAATTTCTAAATAAGATCTTTTATAAAGTTGTAATAGAAAGTTACTGAGCTTCAATATACTAAAATCCATATTAAACATATATTTCAATCAAATAAAAATATCCTAAGTAGAAAATTATATTCTTTACTTCAAATAACCACCAAAATACAATCCTTATGCATTTCCTTCTAACAAAATAAAATTAAACTTTTTATTAAACTTAAGCATGATTAAATTATTTGTCACTATATGAAAATGTATCACCTATAAAACAAAAAATACTTAATAAGAAAATCAGAGCTAAAACACTTTCCAGAAAAAAACACTTACCCAATCATTGCTGCTTCTTTAACTTCAGCTTCGGTGCCATTTATAATTGAGTCCTGATTTTTGTCATCTTCCCTATCAGTGACATCACTTGAAAAGCCCAACAAAGCTCGCACTCGTTTAGATTTCACATCTAGGATAGTATCTGTGTAACCCACCTCCTGTAGATACCTGTGTAAAGAGGATCCTTACAAGTCAGCCATACTGGCATCAGTATTCTATAATTTACTATGTAAATAAAAATATTTCTTTAAATTAACTGCCTAAGACTGAAAAGTACAGTACTATGCTAATGAGACTTGCTAATAAATAATTTTCCAGCTGCAGATGGGGCTGTCTCTTGCAGTACCAGCCTCTTTAGTCACTGAGAAAAATCAAAGAACTATACAATACACCATTCATTGCATTTACCATAAGAAGTCGTTCATTAATATACCAAATAGCACACTATCTCCTCTAGGCAGGACTGGAGAGAACCAACTCCCAAATTCTGCTAAATTATTATTTTATAATAGTATTCTAGTAGACGTATTTAAAACAAAAAAAAATCTGATGGAAAGAAGTGTCACTGGATAAATTGTTTGAGATCCAGGGAAAATGTTTCTAGCATATAGGATTTCCTCCACAACACACAAGAAAAATGCATTTTTCAAAGAGTCATGTCTACAGATGAATAGCTTTTCTCCTAAGACAAATCTAATACATAAATTTTCATCGTTGTTAGTTGCCATCAAGTCAATTCTGACTCATGGTGATCATACGTATGCATAGTAGAAGCGCTCTGTTGGATTTTCAAGCTGTGACTTTTGGAAGCAAACAGCCAGGCCTGCCTTCCAAGGCACCTTTGGGTGGGGCAACTCTTTCTGCTAGTAGCCTAGCGCTTAACCACTTGCACCACGTGCAGTTAATTTACAACTGTAGGGTGTAAGAAGTGTGTGTGTATGCACACATGTATGTTACAGAGTAGTTTCAGCGTTAAGATAGAGCGTAAGTGTTGTATTAAAAATTAGAGCTGGGTCTAAAATCCACTTCTACCACTTTGTCTGAATTTTAACTATGGACCTCATTTTCTTTCTCCTAAAATCAGCACCCTAGTACTAATACTAAAGCTGTGAGAATAGCATCAAAAGTAGCAATCACAGGAACACAAAAAAGGCAGATGCCCTTAACAAATGTAACTGACAATGTTAAGCATTAACTAAAAGCAGGCATTAAGTTTACTAGATGAAAAAAGAAGACAAAAGTAAACAAGATAACCAGTCTAAGATCAGTTTATTTCAACATTTGGTTTTAATAGTTATTACAGTTGAAAGAGATCTAAGAAAAATACGGGCTCAAAATGGAGTTAGTGTATCTTATCAAATTATGATACTCAATTTTCAATGTCATCAAATATAAATAGGAACGTTTTTATTAAAATCTGAGTACAGATAGTCCCCAACTTACAACATATTCAAGTTATGATGAATTGCACCTATGACTATCTTTTTTGGGGGGTGGGGGAGCTATGCCTATTATTGTTGGTAATACATACTCCACACATTACTGCAGTGCATAATTTGTTGATGTTGTCATTTTTGGATATTCACTTGTAGGTACAAGTTCAATGTTATGATTTACTGTGTAAAACATTGCCATGTAACAAACAGGCTAGGGCAATAATAATGATAATTTTTAAAAAATGAGGTATTCTATTTACATCAGAACCAATTTATGACAGAATCATCAGAACCTCATTGTAAGTCAGGGACTACTGTATTAAATTTCCAACTTTCCTGAATTTAATCAGTTGTTCTGGCATACTAATGGAAAGGTGTTATTTTTTCTATTTGAAAAAAATATTATTTGATTAATCAATTTGGCAACAAAATCACATTGCATCTATCAATTTTCAAAACTGACAGACATGTTTCATAGATATGTTGGTTTCACTAATTACTTACTCATTCATTGATAAAAATGTCACTTCTACCTTGGAGGAGGGAAGCTCTGTTGGCATAGTACTAAGGTAATTGACTGCTAACCAGAAGGTTGGCGGTTCAAACCCACCAGTCACTTCTCGGAAGGAAGATTGGGCGATCTACTTCTGTAGTGATACTGCCTCGGAAACCCAAGGAGGGGTTGCTATGAGTCAGAGATGACTCGACAGCACATAACAACCTTGAGGGGTAGGTTGTGAGTCTTAAAGTTTTTGAAATATCTCTCAAACAGCTCACTGTTTAGTTCTTGAACAACCTTCTCATTTAAAAAAGAAAAAAGCATAGCTCATATTTAAAACCAAAGTGAAAGCACTCATGAAAAATCCACTTGCTAAATACAAGCAAATGCTCCTTTCCTTCTTTCTTCAAGACAAAAAACAGATATAAGAAAATGTTTTAATATTCTTTTCCCATACTCAAAAAAAAAGTCTGATATACACCCACTCTGAAGACCACAGGTTTAGTCTGTTCTATAAATACCCCTCCCCAAACCCCAAAACAGGTAACACATTTAATTTTCATGAGCAGAGGTCTGAATTCCAGTTTCAAAAGAGATGCAATGGCCAGGCACGAGCAGGTGGGTGGGTCTAGTCCACCACTTAATACATGAAACGTCACTCCTGCTTTGTTTCTGCTTTACAGTCATAAATATATATTTTACAGAAGCAAGCATATTTATTACAACATTTGCAAATTTGATAATTTAAGAAGTTCTTCAACCTACTTATAGAAAGTTTTCATTCCAGTAAGATGGAGGAATAGGCAGACAAGTGACACAGACCCTCTTCAACAAAGAAAAGAAAAACCAATTGACAGAGATAGAGAAGATAATCCTGGAGCCCTGAGCTTTGAAAAGAACTGTGGAGAAGTGGATTAGGCACCAACTAGTAGAAAAACTTGAATGAAAACAGTGAGTATAGAGATGGTCAGAGCTGCGGACTGTCAGCTACTCTTATGGGATCAACAGCCTGAATATTTCCAAGTGGTATTGGGACCTGAGAATTGACCTAAAGATCAACCCTGGTGACCAATGACTGCAGGAATAACTGCGCTGGTGGTCTATGACTAGGAAGGGAAACAAGGAGGGAGACAACCTGAGCTGTTGACTTTCTGCTGTCTGAAGGGCGCAGCCATTTTGATTGTTTACACATAGCAGCCATTTTGGATATTTACAAGCAGTGGCCATTTTGGATATTATAGTGACCGAGGGCACAGCCGTTTTGAATCTTTACAAGTGGCAACCACTTGGATTTTAAAGTGATAGGATTCTCATTCGGATTCCAGGGGCCTAAGAATAGGCTCTGTTTGCCAAGGTCAGCAGGGACATACCAGAGGCTGACAACTAGAAAGGAGACAGGTGGTCAGTGTATAAGTGCTGTCAACTACTAAATAGAGGAGCACAGTACCCTGTTTGCGTAGATAAAATACAAACAAAACAAAGAAAACGAAAATTGTGGGCAAATCACTCCAATATACAATCACCAATTAAATATAAACACAAAAATGTCACAAGGCCTTGGACAAAACAGAGCATCACAGTCCAAAGAAGTAAGATAAAGCAAGAGAAACAGGGGACCAGGATACAGACTCAAAACACATCCCTGAGGATGCAGATTGGAACTCCCTGATATTCAAAAGAATTATATTTAAGTATCTTCAATCAATTGAGAGACAGATCAAGGGAAACAGAGAGAAAACCCTAGAACAATTTTGAAAGACAACACAAAAGCAAAATGACAAAATAAATGAAAAATTAGAAATGATACAAAATCTACACACAGAAATCCAGAAGATTAACACTAAATTTTCAGAAATAGATAAGACATTGAATGGGCAAAGGAGCAGAACTGAATCAGTGGAAGACAGAATTAGGGAGACTGAAGGCAAATACCTGAACACTTCTTTGGAAAGGGATCAATCAGAAAAAAGATCAAAACAAAATGAAGAAAGCCTAAGGTTCATATGGGATACCATCAAAAGGAATAACCTATGTATAACTGGAATTCCAGAACAGGAAGAGACAAATAAAACCACAGAGAAAATTGTCAAAGATTTGTTGGAGGAGAATTTTCCTGGTATGATGAAAAATGAGAATATATCCATTCAGGAAGTCTAACGAACCTCAAACAGGATAGACCCCAAAAGAAAAATACCAAGATATATCATCATCAAACTCATGAAAACCAAAGACAAAGAAAGAATCATGAGAGCAGTACAGGAAAAACGAAGTTACCTACAAGGGGCAACCAATAAGACTAAGCTCGGATTTCTTGGCAGAAACCATGCAGGCGAGAACGCAATGGGATGGTATATGTAAAACTCTGAAAGACAAAAATTTCCAAACCCAGCAAAATTATCCCTCAAATATGATGGTGAAATTAGGAGATTTCCAGATAAGCAGAAACTAAGGGAACTTGTTAAAACCAGACCAACCTTACAAGACATGCTAATGGGAGTCCTTTGAACAGAGAGCCAAAAGAGCAAACAACAACCGGCCATTAATACATAAGATGACATAACCCAGAAACCACAGCTATGGACATATCCAAAGTAAATAAACCTACAAGATTGTAAACAGGGGACCAGAGACATCAATTGACAAATGAGGACAACTACAAACCAAAAAGAGGGAAAAAACTGTGCCATTCCAGAACTTCTAGATGGTAGAGAAGTCAAGACAACTACAAGATAGAATGGACTGTTCTAAACTTGGGAAGAAAACTGTAAATCACATAGTAGGGTAACCTCAAAGAAAAATGATAAACCTTCACATCAAAATAGAGGACCAGCATAAATATTCAGCAAATACTAAAACAACAGCAATGAAGGAAGTGATAACACAATTCATAAACAAAACGAGCCCAGCATAGAAAATTATATGGAACAAAGAAATCAACACCAAGAAAAAGCACATTAACAAAAATGACAGCAACAAATCTATATTTGCCGATAATGACATTATCTGGCAAGGGACTTATCTCTAAGATTTATAGCTGAAGAGCGGATGACCAAACTATGGTACATACACATAACAGAATGCTTTGCAGCACTAAAGAATAATGTAGAGGCTGCAAAACATCGCATAATATGGATGAACCAGGAGTACATTATGCTGAGTGACATAAAATCAATCACAGAAGGACAAATATAGTATTAGTTCATTGTTGTTGAGGGCCAAGGAAAGGTTTATATATGGAGGGAAACTTTCTTTGTTGGTTGCCAGGGATGGGAGGGAATGGGAGGGAACGCTGCAAAAAAAACAAAAAAATGTACTGACCCATGTCACTTTAATTTTATGTATTTCACTGTACATAAATTATATTTCAACAAAATGCATTTAAAAAAATAGAAAGTTTTCAAAGTTAGTACAAATAATATGTAAACAATGATTGGGATTGTATTAAAATATATGCATATTTATGTATTAAATTTGGAAAGTGTGACTGACTTCAGGGTATAGAATTCTCTTAACTATAAATATAAGTGTATAATATAATTTGGAACCTAAATATTTTACTCTTCTTGATGAAACTAAAATTGTGGAAAGAGAATTTGCTTTGCTAATTACTAATATTTAATAAAAAATAAATTTTACCATGGGGGAAAAATGTTTAATATGAGAAAGGAATAGTAATTCAATTTTACTTTTTGGAGCAGCAGTATAATAATATGAGAAACAAAATTATTCTACTGAGTTGGAAACACAAAATAATCTCCTGATAATATTTTTCTCCCTTTTGTCAATTTATAACTTGAACTTGGGATACTTACTGTCTGAGTAGCTGTCGACCTTGTTTCCACATTAACTGGCTGTTTTGTTGTGGCTGTACCTCTGTTTCATTACCTTCATCTGGAAAACATTAAATCATAATAAAACTGACTTGTTTTACATGTTAGAGGGCATCTGGATTCATAAAAAATGTCCAATAAAAATTTAAAAGAATATGTAAATCTCCAATTGTAAATATAATTTAGGGTACTGCAAACTTTATTTTAAACTCTAATTTCCATAAGAAAACTCTAATATAAAATTTATTATTGTTGCTCCATTCCTCTTAGAGTAGCAGAAGTAAAATGAAGACACCTTCGACAGAGAATTTTTCCCCAGGGCAAAGACTTCACCAGATCAAGTCATATAATAAGAGCCAAATCCAAGCACTACAATACACGACATCAGAGCAGGAACAAAATGCCCAGAAATGTTGGTAGAAAAGCCAGTTTAGTAAAAGGTAGATGAAAAGGAAATAATCTACTTCCTTTATAAGCTATTAAAGTATTTTTGTTGTTGTTATTAAAAATAAGGAATTAAAATTAATGAAAGTCTCGTACGCATTTTAAAATTTATATCCATCATTAGGTAGACACTGAATCCTTTTAAGAAGGTGATTAAAATACAAAGAGCCTTATGGTAAATCTGCATGGAAGCATTTCCAAGCTACACTATGATGTATCAACTTTAACAATACAAAAAAGTACATTTTCATCAGCACTTGATCTAGCTGTAAGAAACAGCTGCTTTTTATAGGATCTATTCAAAAGGAGGTGAGAGACAGATATCTGATATTTAGCATTTATTGTATACCTACTCTATTCTAGACAGTATGTTTAAAACATATACACTATCATTTTTAATCCTTATGACCTCAAAAGACGGTTGTTAAAAATACCCCCATTTAAAGATGAAAAAACCGTATTTGAGAGGTAAACTTTCAGATTTCTTTCTTAGAAACACACCTGTAAGTGGTGAAATCACACTTGTCTAGCTCAAAGCTCCTAAACTAATATTTCCTTCCATGTTACCCTATAATGATAGGAAATTACAAAAGTATCTAAATAAAAATAAGAATTACACCTTGCACTTTCATCTTCTTCTTAAAGTAACTCCAAAATAACCAGGCCAAGCTCTATGATATTCCAAAGAACTATGAGAGTAAATCTGGTGGGTGGGAAGAGGCCGAGTTTTGAGAAAAGGAGGAGAATTCAGTTAATCCAAAAAAGATGACTTTGGGATGACTTTGCCAAGGGAATACTTTACAAACATCCCTAGGTGGCACAAACTGTTTGCACTTGACTGCTAACCTAAAAGTTGGAGGTTCAAACCCACCCAGCAGGACAGGGGAAGACAGGCCTGGTGCTCTGCTTCCGCTAAGATTATAGCCAAGAAAATCCTATGAGGCAGATTTACTGTAACATATGAAGTCATCATGAGTTGGAATCTACTCAACAGCAACAAGTTCATAGCCAATAAGCCAACACAAGAGATAAAATCAAATAATAAAAAATACTCAATCCGAAAGAAGGCTGAAAAAGAGGAAAAGAGAACAAGTAAGATAGATTGTACAAACAGAAAATCAATAGCAAAGGGTGGCAGATTTAACCCTAACCATAAAAATAATCTTATTAAATGCAAATGATCTAAAAAAACATTTAAAGGCAGTGACTTCCAATTTTCAATAACTGTTACTATTATTGTTAGGTGCCATCGAATTGGTTCCAACTCATAGCAACCCTATGTACAAAAGAACAAACACTGCCTGGTCCTGTGCCATCCTCGCTGTCATTGCTATGTTTGAGTCAACTGCTGCAACAACTGTGCCAATCCATCTTGTTGAAGGTCTTCCTCTTTTTCACTAACCCTCTACTTTATCAAATATGATAAGATGTCTCCTCGAGGAGACATCTTTGCTCTTCATTCTCTCCAGGGACTGGACCCTCCTGATAACATGTCCAAAGCATGTAACACAAAGTCTCACCATCCTTGCTTGTAAGGAGCATTCTGGCTGTACCTCTTCCAAGGCAGATTTGTTCATTTTCTGGCAGTCCACAGTACATTCAATATTCTCCACCAACATCACAATTCAAATGCATCAATTCTTCTGCAGTATTCCTTATTCACTGTCCAGCTTTCACATATACATAAGGCGATTGAAAATAAAACGGCTTTGGTCAGGTGCACCCTAGTCCACAAGGTGACATCTTTGCTCTTTAACACTTTAAACACATCTTTTGTGGATTTACCCAATGCAATTCGCTGCTGGATTTCTTGACTGCTGATTCCATGGGTGTTGAGTGTGGATCCTAGTAAAGTGAAATCCTTGATAACTTCAATATTTTCTGTTCATCATGATGTTGCTTATTGGTGCAGTAGTGAGGATTTTAGTTTTCTTCACGCTGTCAGGTTTGATCTTCATCAATAAGTGTCTCAAGTTCTCTTCACTTTTAGCACTTCACTTCACTTTTAGGTTATGCCATAAGAGTATTTAGAAAGAAAAACAAAAAAACCACTGGGTTTTCAGAGCAATAAATCTTTACAGAAATAGATTGCCCCATCTTCCTTCCACAGAGTGGCTGGTGGGTTTAAACTGCCAACCTTCTGGTTAACAATCAATGAGTACTTCTCTAATCCTGATGCCATGTTCTTCTTCCCATAGTCCAGCTTCTTGGGATTATCTGCTCAGCATGCACACTGAATAAGCATAGTGAAAGGCTACAACCATGACACATACTTTCCTGATTTTAAACCAGTGTCCACTTCAGCTGCTAATCAAAAGATGGGTGGTTCAAACCCATCTAGCTACTCCACAAGAGAAAGAGAAGGCAATCAGCTTTCATAAAGATTTACAACCTTGGAAACGCTATGGCGTAGTTCTACTCTGTCCAGAAGAGTTGCTGAGTTGGAATCAACTCCACGGCAGTGAGTTTGGTTTGGTTTAGTGCCCTCTTGTTCTGTTCAAACAACTGCCTCTTGGTCTACATACAGGTTCCGTATGAGAGTGTTCTGGAATTCCCATTCTTCAAAATGTTTTTATAATTTGTTATGATCCATGCAGTCAAATGCCTTGCATGGTCAATAAAACACAAGTAAACGTCTTTCTGGTAGTCTTGCTTTCAGCTAAAATCCAACAGATATGAGGAATGATATCCCTCGGTCCACACCCTCTTCTGAATTCACCATTCATTTGTCAATTTGTCTTACTGTGGTGACTTACGTGTTGCATGTTTCAATTACTACCTGGTATCTAATATTAAAGAGGAGGAACTGAAATATCAAAGATAAATGAATTCTAACATAATCTGGGGTGATAAGTGTCCTGAAGCAGAAATGTAAATGTTTGCAAGTGGAAGAAACTAAAAAAATAGTAAGAGGAAAACTTAATTTTTTGTGAGAAATCTTTCATCAGAAAACACCTGGATTATCAGTTTTAGAATAATATACTAAATGGATAAAAAGGACCAAACCTGGAAAAATTCCTACTTCTTTAAGGTTTATGAAATTCAGTTATATCCTTTCTCTCTCTCTCTCTCTCTCTCTCTCTCTCTCTCCCCCAGTCACTGCTTCTATCACTGTCATCTACAGATCACTTGATAACTCTCCAAAGCTGGCACACATGCTTCCTCTACAACCAAACTTGTACATCATGAGTGAAATCAGTACACATGTGGTGATCCAGTTTAGCGTCTCCACAACCACCACTCGTTTTCACTGTCATACCCTAGATCTTTGCATAAATGAAGAGCAGAAACTGACCGTGAGCATATCATCTGGGCTCAGTTATTCTCAATTCACTCTCTTTGATTTAGGTGGGAGCAGCTCTCCCGTGCATATGAGGCAATTGAAAATACCATGAGTTGTGTCAGGCACACCTTAGCCCTCAAGGAGACATGTTTGCTCTTCAGCACTTGAAAGAGGTCCTTTGTGGCCAATTTACCCAGTGCTATACGCCCTCTGATGTCATGACTGCTGCTTCCATTGACGCTGACTATAGAACCAAGCAATGTGAAGTCTTCAACAACTTCAATCTTTTCTTCATTTATCGTGATGCTGCTTATAGGTCCAGTTGTAAGGATTTTTATTCTCTTTATATTGAAATGTAATCTATACTGTAGGGGTTGGCAAACAATAACTTGCCTGCCACCTGTTCTTACAGATAAAGCTTATTAAAACAGTCATGCTCATTCATATTGTCTATGGCTGCTTTCATGCTACAACAGCAGAGCTGAATAGCAAAGGCAGTATGGCCTGCAAAGCCCAAATTGCTTACCATAAGACATTTTACAAAGTTTGCTTGAAACTCAATTCTTAATTTTTAACTAATCCACCACCAGCCTCTTTTTGTCTTCATTTCCTGCTCTCTCTAATTTTCGATCATGGTCTATCACTTCTGCTATTCTTTTGCCAAGGTCCTCAATTTTCTTGTTCCTTTATCTCTTGGTGAATCAACTACAGATTTCCCCTGCTACATGAAAGTATTCCTATGAAACCTTATGGCATCAATGCAAAGAAGTAATTAACATTCACTAATATGGGAAAATTTTAAACCATTTCTAAACCCAAAAAATAACCTATCAAATCATATCAAATACACATAAAATTTAAAATAACACTAACATATAGTGTTCACACAGTTCAAAGCTATGACAGGTTGATGCTGAGAGCAGTTCCCAAGGATGGAGTCGGCAGCATCAGTCTCACTGCTTGGGGTGCATGATGTCGTTGTTTTAGGCGCCACTGAGTCGTCTCTGACTCATAGCAACCCTATGCACAGCAGAATGAAACATCACCCGGTCCCATGCCAGCTCCACAATCCTTGCTATACTTTAGCCCATTGCCGTAGCCACTGTGTCAATCCATCCCATTGAGGGCCTTCCCCTCTTTTGTCAATCTTCCACCTTACTAAGCATGACATCCTGCTCCAGGGAATGGTCCCTTCTGATAACATGACCAAAGCAGGTGAAACGAAGTCTGGCCATTCTTGCTTCCAAGGAACATTCCAGCTGCACTTCCTCCAGGACACATCTGTTAGTTCTTTTAGCAGTCAAGAGTACTTTCAGCATTCTTCACCAGCACTA